CCCCCACTTATTGCGGCACACCCTCACACGTTTCGTGGGCCCCACAGGAAGCTCCGCCGAAGGTCCCAGTGGCGCAGCCCGCATGCGTCACCCACACCCATTCCGGCACAGCCCTCACACGCTTCGTGGCCCCGAATGGAGCTCCACGAAAGGTCCCAATGGCGCAGACCGCATGCGTCACCTACACCCAGTCCGGCACACCCCTCACACGCTTCGTGGCCCCGTAGGGAGCTCCACCGAAGGCCGGAAAGACGCCGTCCGCATGCGTCACGCACAATAGGTTCGGCACACACCTTAGACGCTCCGTGGCCCCAAAGGGACCTCCACCGAAGGTCCCAGTGGCGCAGCCCGCATGCGTCACCCACTCGACACACCCCTCACACGTTTCGTGGCCCCATCGGGCCACCGTCCACATGCGTCCTCCACACCATGTCGGCACACCCCTCACACGTTTCGTGGCCCCATACAAGCTCCACCGAAGGTCCCAGTGGCGCAGCCCGCATGCGTCCCCGCCACCAATTTCGGTACACCACTCCCAAATTTCGTGGCCCAATGGAACGCACCACCGAAGGTCCCCTGCATTCCCGCTACCCATTGAGGCACACCCCTCACACGTTTCGTGGCCCCATGGGAGCCCCGCCGAATGTCCCAGAGGCGCACCCCGCTGTGGCCCCCCACCAACTTCGGCACACCTCTCACAGGATTCGTGCCCCCATGGGAAACTCCACCGAAGGCCGGAAAGGCGCCGTCCGCATGCGTCCCCGCAATTCATGTCGGCACACACTTCACGCTTTTCATGGCCCCATAGGGAGCTCCACCGAAGGCGCGACTTGCACCGTCCATATGCGTCCCCCCACCTATTGCGGCACACCCCTCACACGTTTCGTGGCCCCATAGGTAGCTCCACCAATGGCCCCAACGTCCAGATGCGCCCCTCCTACCGCCGGCACACCCCTTATACGTTTCCTGACCACATAAGGATCCACCGAAGATGATACTCACAGCTGCGGTACTCACAACTGCATATGTTTGGGCCCTTTGCAAGGCTGATTCAATTGGCGACCATAACAGGCGTCATTGGGGGGAGGGTGTGGGGGGACGGGAAGGGGCATAACGTAGCGCCCTCCCCTCCCACACTGTGGTGCCAGGCGCACTGCGGCAGCGCCGGTGACGCACTGAGAGGGGGAGCGCTACGTGATGGCACCAAAACACTCGCCCCCCCAGGAACGTTCGCGCTGTGACATAAATTGGCCTGGCATCCAACCATCTGCAGTTGTGAATACCGCAATTGTGAATATCTTTTTCGGTGGCGCTCCCTATGGGGCCACGAACCCTGTGAGAAGTGTGCCGAAATGGGTGCGGCGGACACATGTGGACGGTGGCACTGGGGCCTTCGGTGGAGCCCCGATGGGGCCACGCAACGTGTGAGGGGTGTATACCAAAATTGGTGCGGGGGACGCCTGTGGACGGTGGCACTGGGGCCTTCGGTGGAGCTCCCTATGGGGGCCACGAAAAAGTGTGAGGGGTGCGCCGAAGTGGGCGCGGGGGACGCATGGGGACGGTGGCACTGGGGCCTTCGGTGGAGCTCCCTATGGGGCCACGAAATGCGTGAGAGGTGTGCTGAGGGGGACGCATGCGGACGGTGGCACGGGGGCCTTCGGTGGAGCTCCCTATGGGGCCACGAAACGTGTGAGGGTTGTGCCCACATGGGCGTGGGGGACGCATGTGGACGGTAGCACTGGGACCTTCGGTGGAGCTCCCCATGGGGGCCACGAAAAAGTGTGAGGGGTGCGCCGACATGAACGTGTGGGACGCATGTGGATGGTGGCACCGGGGGGCCTTCGGTGGAGCTCTCTATGGGGCCACGCAACGTGGGAGGGGTGTGCCGAAATGGGCGCGGGGGATGCATGTGGACGGTGGCAATGGGGCCTTCGGTGGAGCTCCCCATGGGGCCACGAAATGTGTGAGGGGTGTGCCGAAATGGGTGCGGGGCGCCCATGTGGATGGTGGCACTGGGGCCTTCGGTGGAGCTCCCTATGGGGCCGCGAAACGTGTAAGGGGTGTGCCCAAATTGGAGCGGGGGACGCATGTGGACGGTGGCACTGGGGCCTTCGGTGGAGCTCCCTGTGGGACCACGAAACGTGTGAGGGGAGTGCCGAAATGAGTGTGGGGGGACGCATGTGGACGGTGGCAATGGGGCCTTCGTTGGAGCTCCGCATGGGGGCCACGAAACGTGTCAGGGGTGTGCCGAAGTGGGTGTGGGGGACGCATGTGGACGGTGGCACTGGGGCCTTCGGTGGAGCTCCCTGTGGGGCCACGAAACGTGTGAAGGGTGTGCCGAGATTGGTGTCGATGATGGTGACGATAACGACGATGATGATGGCGACGATGGTGATGCTGACTATGATGACGATGACGCTGATGATGATGCTGATGATGAGAAGAGGGAGGAGGGGAAGGGAGGAGGGGGAGGAGGAAGGAAGAAAAGGGAGGAACGCGGGGACCGTCTCTTCAAACGAAGACCCAACACCACAGGATGGTTAGGACAAATCACGGCGCAAGGTGTTTGGACCATGTGGGCCTCTGGGTGCCTCCCTCACCGGGCCCATGGGGCCGTCGCAAGACTGCTCAGGACGAGAAGCCGGGGGCCCCGCGCCCAAATAACAACACATCGGACGCCATGTCTGTGGGCCAGGACGATCCGAAGTTGGACGGCCGGCTCCGAGGGGCCCCGTGCCAAAGAACCAGCACATGGGATGCCATGTCTGGGCCAGGGCGACCCGAAGCGGATGTGGGACGGAGAGCTGCCTACGGGGCGGGGGTCGGGGTCTCTGAGGCCCGCGGAGGAAGCAAGTCAGCCCGTCGAAGGTCTGGGCGGAGGGGCAGGGCCAGAGCCAAAACGGCTGCGGAGCTCCTGTGAGGTACATTTCGGCAAGACATGATGCTCGGAGGTATAGCTTGGATCGCCGATGAGAGGATAAGGGGATAAACATGGATACTAAGGGGGGTTCTATGTGGTTTCACCCAGCTCGGAAGTGGGTTGCACGTGCCCTAAGTGGCTTACAGGCGTACGTGTCTGGACTAAGCGGGCGGAGCCCACTGAGCGGAGTTACCTCATCATCCTAAGCCGAATAAGGCACTTGTAACCCACTCATGAGTTGGGTTAGACCAGACAAAACCAAATTTATAATCCATTTCTAACCTCCGCACCCCCTTAGAAACCACCGCGGCGATCCAAGAAGGGGACACGTGTCCCGTCGATGTGCAACTTCGGGCGGCCCCCTCAGACTCCAGCGGGTCCTCAATGCAACCGGGGAACAAGACAATGGCCCCGGGGGCACCCGCTCGCTGGCGGGTCGGCTTCTGGGCTGATGTGGCCGGTGTGGTCCTCCTCCTCCTCCTCCTCCTCCTGCGCCGCCTCCTCCCCGCCTGCCGTGCAGATCAGCACACGCCGTGACGCTATGAGCATCATCGACCAGCGAGCCTTCTTCGTGCCCCGCGCGCTCTCTGGTAGAAACGAGCTGGCCGCACAACGCTATGACAATGCGGTGGCATCGAGCGCCCTACCTACTTTTAGGTCGGGCATGTCCTCCTACAGGCGGATTTTGGGCGAAACATCAACAAGTGCTCAAACATAGTCAACTAATAATCAAAACATCTGCCCCTGGCTTTTTATTTTCAGATATTCCTCCTGTAGAGGGACACGCCCGACTTAAACCTACTTTCCCAAGCAAGGTGGAGCACGTGCGCGGCAAACATCTGCTCTTCGGGGCGATCCCGGGCATCCCGCCGAACGCCCCCAGCCCGAGGTGCCGCCTCTGGAGAGCACACCCCGAGGCTGCAAGACAACGAGTTCTGGGCCTGTTTTCCACCAACACCACCACAAGTTGGAGGGGGGAGGAGGCGGAGGAGGAGGGGGAGGAGGAGGACGAAGAGGAGGAGGAGGAGGCGGAGGAGGCGGAGGAGGAGGAGGACCCCCTCTCCCTCTAATTTATGGTGGTGGTGGAAAACAAGCCCATCAACGAGCACGGTGCCGACGAACACATCCGAACACCTCGAACCTCGAACCCGAGACGTTCTCCCCCCGAGCCGACCCCACGCTTGAAGGGACAGCTCATCGGAGGTCTCTGCAAGCAAGAGTAAGGGGCAAATCAAAGCCAGACTAGGCCGGATGGGCCGGGGACTATAAGCCGGAGGAGGCGGGAGAGAGCGGGATTAACCAGGAGTGTGCCAGATGATGCGTGTTTTCGACCACATGTCCACCAGCGGCGATGCTGAGTTGAACCTCCGAGGAGAAGCATCCGAACCCCCCTGAGCTGAGCTGAGCCTGCGGTCAGAAACCTTCGCATAGCGTGTCGCTGCGGCGGCCCCGGCAACACGCTGTGCCCTGCAAGCGGACATGCGGCGGCCCTGGCGACACGATCCCTGCACGCGGATGGCGCGTCGCTCTGCTCCGCGGGGCGGCAGGCCGGGCACCGCTCAGCTCGGGACGCTGACGCCTGGGAGTGAGGACGTGGACAGCGTGTCGCGCCGCAGCGTGGTGGGCCAACTCCGGCGGAGCGACACGCTGTCCAACAGTTACTGACCGTAACCCCCCCCCAGAGTCCACCCGCATGAGAAGGACACGCGGTGAGGATACAAGGGCCTGGGACGCCCAGGCCGAGGGTCTTCGAGCGGGGCTGGCCATCGAGTGCCTGAGGATGGGCCGAAGATGACCGAAGAGGCAAGGATGCAAGGGCCCTGAGATCCGTCGCGAAAATCTGCAACATCGCAAAAAAATCACGACCAGACCCCTGGAGCCCGTCCTTCTGCATCATCCTTCGTGACGCATCGATCTGTGTGGGCCCCGGGGCCCGCAGCGGGGTAAGGGCACCTCCTGTGAAACAAATTGCCACGCCAGCATCTCAGGGGGGTACCCTTGGGAGGTCGATCGTCCTTCCTACGCGGGTAGACTGCCAGCGCTGCCCCTGAGCCACCCCCCGAGGAGGCCCGGCCAGCGCCTCTCGCCCGGCGTTGGCCTGCGCCGCCGCCCCCGGCTCTGGCGTCGGGCTCCTGGACCTCCTCGGCCTCGAGCCGCGGTGGGCTGGCCCAGCCCGGGGAAAACGACGAGGACGACGACGAGGACGACGACGAGGACGACGACGAGGACGACGACGAGGACGACGAGGACGACGAGACCGGCGACTTCGACGGCGACGTGGACAATGACCAGGAGGACGAAGACGACGACGACGAGGGCGAGGACGCTGAAGATGACAGGGACGACGACGACAGCGAGGACGAGGCGTCGTCGGCGGCGACCTCCGCCCTCGGAGTGTGTCGTCGTCGTTCGCGTCATGCCGAAGGACAACTGGCATCAAACAGGTAAGGCCGTGTTGTTCGATGGGCGCTTTGCTCGTGCGGTTCTGGGATGAGAGGGAAAGTGTCATCAAAATACCTGCTCCCTCTCCAAGATGCGAGCCGCACATTCATTTCGATGTCATTTCAAAATCTCGGGATGGGAAACCGCCCCGAGCGCAGCATTTAAGCCCCGATGCCAACACCGGCGGACGTGCATAAGCAGATTGGTTCGTCTCTCCTTGCTGCTAGGTCTGTGGCAGACGAGGTCCACGCAATCAAACATTATCATGAATGATGACAGGCACTCGTGCCCGACACTCGCACACGCGCGCGCGTGAGGCAAGAACACATCACAAACGTCCTCCCACTCTCTCACACACACACACGTGCAGCAACGAAGATTGATGAGCCCAGGACTCGATGGTTTCGCACTCCTGCCCAAGGTCCCGGTTCCAGCAGGGTGCTACCACCCATGCGACCGTCGTCAGCACTGGGACAACTGTGCTGTCCATACCCAAACGGGCGACAATCAAAAGCGAGTCTTGCGCGAGATGACACAGCGCTCTTACGCCGCGGCTCACGCGGGCCGCCCGCGCGGCACGCCACAATGGAGACGAGGGCGCTTACGCGCGAGCGTGCGCGGGCAGCTTGCGCGCCAACGTCGGCGAAGACGACCCCGCTTTCTTGCGTCGCTGAAGTGCCTTTCAAAGGGGGGGGCGGTGCCGCCTCGCGGTGGCCTCGCTGCGAGGCCGCGCGCGTTCTCCGAGGCCGAGCAGCGCGCGCACCGTGACCGCTGGGTGCGGCAGGCGCGCCACGCGCGCCAGGCGCGCGCCCGAGAACCCCCCTCACACACACACACACACACACACACACACACACCCTCGCACACACACAGACACACACACACACAAACACACACACACACACGCACACACGCGCACACACACACACGCCCACACACAGACGCGCACACATACACACACACACACACACACACGCGCGCGCACACACACACGCGCACACACAGACGCGCGCGCACACACACACGCACACACACACACACACTCTCACGCACGCACACACACACACACACACATGTCGCACAACAGGGGGTTCTGCACAGGAGGGGGAGGGGGGACATTCTTTTGCGGACATCTTGATCTGGGGGGGGCTGGGGGAGGGGGAACACTCGGCAGACAGTTTGCCCGGGGGGGGGGCGGGAGGGGGACGCTTGGCAGACACTTTGCCTGGAAGGGGATGCGGGGGCGAGACATTGGGCAAACAGTTTGCCGGGGAAGGAGGTGGAGGGGGGCGGGACATCTTGAACATAGCTTGAAAACATTCGGAAACCATTTGGAGACGTCGCCGCGCGGGGGGTTGGCGGGCGCGCGGCCAAATGCCCCCCCCACACCTTTTGACCAGCCCCGCCCCCCTCCGAGCAAAATGTTAAAAGGAAATTTTGACCAGTCCCTCCCCCGCGAGCAAAATGTCGGGGGGGGTATTTTGACCAGCCCCCCTCCCTGCCAATATGTCGCAGGGCGTGGCCAGGCGGAATATCAGGTGCTAAGAAAGCTAAGTGCCTCTGGTTTGTCGCCGAGGCCCACTGCGCTGGGACAATTTGCTTGGACAGGCCCGAGGTTTCGCAGACATTTGGCAAGTGTCCCTCCGCGAAGGCAGGGGTGATATCTTGAAGACATGTTTCGTGCGTCTGGCAAACCCTCAGAGCGAGGCGCCTTCGAACAACACGGAAGGCAAGGGCCCCATCTCTGAACATCTCGAAACAAGGACGTGAACAACGACCGCGACGACGACCACGACGACAACGACGACGACGACGATGACGACGACGCCAACGGACACCCGACGACGACGACAACGATCCTCTCGGAGGGGGGGCCGCCAGCCACGACTGGTCCTTACCGTCGCAATCGCCCCTGTCATCGTCATAGTACTCGTCGCAGTCTTCGTCGCCGTCGTCGTCGTCGGCGTCGTCGTCGTGCTCGTCGTCGTCGTCGTCCTCGTCGTCCTCCTGATGATCGTCGTCCACGTCGCCATCGAAGTCGCCACCCTCGTCGTCGTCGTCGTCAACGTCGCGTCGTCGCCGTCATCGTCGTCGTCGCCACCCTCGCCGCCGCCGCCGCTGTTAACGACTTTCTCCTCGCCCCAGCGGCGGAGGCCAAGGCGCGGCGGCGAGGGCGAGGGCGAGGGTGGCGACGACGACGACGACGACCACGACGACGACGACGACGACGACGACGACGACGAGGACGAGGACGACGACGACGACGCTGGAGACGCTGAAGACGATATGACGACGACGACGACGGCGACGACGAGGGCGAGAAGGATTACGATGACCCCTTCTTTCAGGAGGGGAAGACGAAACCGCCGCCACCGAGAACCTGTCGGGGTGGAGTGGGGGCGACCCCTGGGCGGCGCCGCGCCCGAACACCACCCAGCACTGGACGAGACACATTCGGCGTGGCACCGCCCAGGGTGGGCCGGAGGCATGCCTGAGCGTGGCGGTGGCACGCCTGATCGTCATTCAGGACTGGACGACGCGTGCGACCGCCAAGGGGCGTATTTCGAGGGCAGTAATCCACCCCGATGATCACCACCCCGACACGCGAAGCCGTTTAGTAAACGCGCCCAAAGAAGGAATCGAACAGGGCAGGGCTGTCAAATAAACGCCTAGAGCCGTTTAGTACACGCCAATTGTCCAGTCCGGGTGGTGTTTCTTCCCTTGTGTATTCCCCCCCGCCCGACGAGTTCTCGGCGGCGAGGGCCTCAGTTTCTGTCTTCCTGCTCCACGACCAGGCTGGCGATCGCGTGTGAGGCATGGTGCCACCCCAGCGCAATCGAAAGAAAAGGGGAGTCAGTGAGCAACTGCAGCGCCGGACCGTTCTCGCCCGGGCGTCCCCGGCGAAGGAGCGACGCCGACGGGGCGGGAAGACGGGCTGGCAGGGGGGAGGAGCGAAGGACGTGGAGAGAGGCGGGAGCAAACGAGATGGCCGCTGATGCTGGCGGTTGGTGAGGCTTCCGGCCGCGCAGGGACAGCCCCCCAGGTAGCCCCAGCTGGCCGCAGCAGGCCCACCGAGTAGGCCCAGCTGGCCGCAAGAGGCCCTCCCTGCAGCCTGGGGCGGTCTCATCAGCGTCTCAAGCCTGGAGCGCGGAGGGCCCCAGGGGAGCCGCTGGAGGCGGCGCCAGGGTGTTGAGAACGACCCGTGTAATACGTTGTGGCACAATCGAGCAGGACCTTGAACTGGGTCGCGATGGTGCATCATACCATGTAGCATGAAGTCGGGCCTGTCCCTCTACAGGAGGAATCTTCAACAATTGTTTTTTTCCAGTCTGGGGACAATGTTTTACTATTTCTGGGTATCTTTATGAATCGGTTTGATCTTTCGTCCAAAATCCACCTGTAGGGGACATGCCCGACCTAACTGTAGCAGGCCTGGGCAAACACCTCCTCTGCACCAGCAACCACCAAGGGAAACCGCCCGAGGCTACTCTGCGGGCCTGTTGCGAGGCTTGCTGGGACGACTTGGCCGGCCTGCGCAGGCCAGCCCAGACTACCAAGGGACATGGGGGGCAACGACAGGGGGGATAGGCATAGGGGGGACGCACCGACCTGGAATCGGCGATGCATCGCCGATAGATCGGCGATATGCCCCCGATAGTGAGTCCGCACCTTCCCGCCTTCCTGGGCAGGTTGGGGCTATCGGGCCCATATCGGCGATCAGTGGGCCATTCGGGGTTGATACGTCCCCCCCATGCCTGTCCCCCCCCCTATCGTTGCCCCTGAGGGGAGGTCCTCCAGAAAGGCGGGCGCATGGGATGCGCAATCCCAGAAACCAGGTGCAACGAAGAGGGCATCCCAGAAGGAGCTGCGTACAGACAGGCATGACACATGCTCAAGTGAAGGAGGAGGAGGAGGAGGAGGAGGAGGAGGAGGAGGAGGAGGAGGAGGAGGATGGATGGGGGTGGAGGAGGAGGGATGGGGGTGGAGGAGGAGGGAGGAGGAGGATGGAGGAGCCCAGCGTAGGAGGGGCGAAGTCGTCACCGACTACGGCGAAAGACCCCGAGGCCTCCTGCCCAACTCGACGCCGCGCTCGCTGGCAGGGACAGCGGCGACGACGGAGGACGCACCAGGCGGCGGCCGCGACGGCACGCGGCGCGGTCGAGCAGACGGGAGAAGACACGCAGGTTGTTGTTAGCCGAGGGGCTTCGCGCGTGCGCACTCCGTGACGCCTTGCCAGGCAGCAGCAGCAGCAGCAGCTCACGAGACCGAAAGGGAATCAATAGCTACGCCACGAAGACACGCAGGAGCGAGAAGCGGGAGAGACGGCAGAGGGCAGCAGCAGCGAGGGCTCGAAGGACGGACAAGGAAGAGGACAGGACAGGCAGGCGCGCGTGGACAGGGACAGGGGCACGTTTCCAGTGGCTGGGCACTCAAGGGCCCTCGGTGGAGAATGGAGAGGGGGAGCCCTAGGAACTCGGCGACAGGGTCATCGGCGACGGCAATGTCGGAGCCGCACACGTGGTCACTCGTGATGAGGGCGAAACAGAAGGGGGCAAGGCAATGCTCGGACATGGGGGCACAACCTGCCCCAGGGTAAGGGTGCAAGGTCGGCCACTGTCATCATCATGATCATTGTCGGCAGGGGTGGCTACCTCTGTCGGGGAAGTGGCAGATTCTGACAATGGCGTCAGCACTGGCGTGAGTCGGGGAGAGGGCGAGCTAGAACGAGACCCACTGAACTCCACCGTGCGGGGCTCCGACTCGGAGTCCGACGCCGAACTGACTAGCGACGTGAAGTGCGGTGATGGACCGATGGCGGCAGCAGCAGTCGAGCTAGAGCGGCCTGAAGCACACGAGGGAGATGAAGACGAAGAGGACGCGGATGACGATGGGCGGCGCACAGGGCGAGGCAGCGGTCCCAGAAGAGCTCGCCCGTCAACACTCAAGCGGCGAGGCGTGGCCAGCCGCATCGAGCGTACACCCGCGAGAGCAGCGCTGCGGATCGACGGTCGGGAAAGAGGCCACTCCTCAGAGCGTAGCGCAACATTGTGCATCGCCTGGGCGGCAGTCATGAACGAGAAGGCCAGCAGCGAGGGCCGCCGCAGGCCACACTTCACCATAGGATCTCGAGGGATAGGTTGTCCCATAGGCCCTTTCCAGCGCTTCATGCAGACGAGGGCAGCGAAGATAATGAGCTAGCACATCACGATGGGCAAGACAACCATATGCACAACATCTCCGTCCGCACGGGTGCAAGATTCCTGAGGAAGTGAAGCAGCCGTCGCACCAGGTGCGCAGGGCAGCCCAGGCCCACGAGCACGGGCAGCGCTTGAGGAGGAGAACGATGGTGTCCCACTCTGTCACGTCGAGCAACTCGGGCCTCGCACCAGCAAATTTGAATAGCCGCCGCCGAAGGTGGTCACGGAGAGGTGCAGTACGAACAACACGAGCCCGCATCGCCATGTGCGCGGCACGCTGCGGACGCGGGCGAGCACCACGGCCAGGGTCCAGAGCGACCAGCGCGGCAGGGCGCCCACACGCCAGCAGGCCCGCCCAAGGGCCAGGATGCGGGGGCCCAGCGGCCGCGGCGTGCAGGTTCTCCACCAACGCTGGGGATCGCCAGTGGGTCGGGTAGCAGCGCCTCGAGCTGAGCATCAGCAGTGACTGCAAGGGAGCGAAAGCCTCCGCGTGCGCCTGCAGGTCGGAGAGGATATCCCTGTACTGCGGGAAAGGTGATCAGGGCGGATGGAGGAGGAGGAAGACGAGAAGAAGGAAGAGGAGGAGGAGGAGGAGGAGGTGGAGGAGGAGGAGGAGGAGGAGGAGGGGGAGGGAGAGGAGGAGGAGGAGGAGGAGGAGGAGGGGGAGGACGAGGAGGAGGGGGAGGATGTGAGACAACCAAACAGAGGGCGAGGATGATGGAGAAAGGGGAGGAGGAAGAGGAGGAGAGCTGGCGACTGCTGCCAGCGATGGTCGGGGGCGGCCAGGCGGGGCGCCGCTGTCCGAAGGGGGCGGCCTCGTCGGACAGGCCGCCGAGTTCCACGAAAGGCGCTCCCGCGCCGGCCGCGCCGCGCTCCTCGGGGCGGCGGGGGCCAGACACGCGGAGGCACACAGACAGGATGAGCACATGCAAGATGAGCACAGGCGAACTCTCATATACACACACGCACACAACACACAACACGCAATGACCGACACACAACACACTAAACACACACATACGCACACGCACACGCACACGCACACACACACACGACAACGCAAACGAACACACACACACAAGACACACACAGACACAAGACACGCGCACACATGACACGTTGATAGTCGCACGCAGCCTGGGCGCTCCAAAACACATCCAATCACGCACACATATACACAGACACGCACACACACACACACACAAAAATACACACACACACACACACGCGCGCACACACACACGCACACACACAAACTGTTTGATCTGCGGGGCGAGAGCGAACCTCTTCCGCTGCAAGCTAGGCGGGCGACGCGCAGCTTTAATTCGGGAGACAGGGCACAGGAAGAAGAGGCCTCAGGCGGCCGGAGCGGGCGGGGCCCGGGGCGCAGGCGGTGCCGAAGTGGATGGTCAGGAGCAGGTGCACCGCGGACTGGCACCGGGGGCGAAGCCCCCGGAGGGCGACGGAGAAGGTGTTGCCGTCGACGGCGCATCGCGAACACCAGCCTCAAGCACTGCAGAAGGGGGACGTGCCACTTGACCAAGTCGACGCCCAGGAGGAAGAAGAGCACCACGAAGGCGATGTGCAACGTTGTGCCACCGGGTGATGCGGAAGAGGTCCGGGGTGGTAGTCCAAACCACGACCAGGTAGCAGCGTAGCTTGAGGAGCGGCCTCAGACGAGGGGGCCGTTCATGACCGACAGGAAGTTGGTGGGCTGCAGGGAGGAAACCTGCCCTGCATCGCCAGCGCGTGAGGACGGGCAGCAGCCACACACGATGCGCTGACGTCCGCATTGCCAAGGGCCGGGCCTGAGCCGCGCAGCGCCATGGCGAGCGGGGCCGCCGAGGCGGCAAGGTGCAACGCCTGGCACCGGGCCGAAGCCGCGCAGTGCCGGGCGCTGCCGCATTTTTCTTGCTTCCTTCCCCCCCGCACCCCAAACC